TGACCTACTGTTGCATTATTTTAAGTATGACCTATTGTTGCATCAATAGCATCTGGTCCTAATGATGCAACCACATCAAATACTGACACCATTGCTGTAAATTCAACTGGTAGACCTACCAATTATGTTGATATGTCAAAAGTTAGTAATCTCACCTATTAATAGTAAAAATATCATTTTCCAACTTTATCTCACCTATTAATAGTAACATCAATACCTCCCAAAAGTATCTCACCTATTAATAGTAACACCAATACCTCCCACAGTATCTCACCTATAAATAGTAACACCAATACCTCCCAAAAGTATCTCACCTATTAACAGTAACACCAATACCTCCCAACAGTATCTCACCTATTAATAGTAACACCAATACCTCCCAACAGTATCTCACCTATTAATAGTAACACCAATACCTCCCAACAGTATCTCACCTATTAATAGTAACACCAATACCTCCCACAGTATCTCACCTATTAACAGTAACACCAATACCTCCCAACAGTATCTCACCTATTAATAGTAACACCAATACCTCCCAACAGTATCTCACCTATTAATAGTAACACCAATACCTCCCACAGTATCTCACCTATTAACAGTAACACCAATACCTCCCAACAGTATCTCACCTATTAATAGTAACACCAATACCTCCCACAGTATCTCACCTATTAATAGTAACACCAATACCTCCCAACAGTATCTCACCTATTAATAGTAACACCAATACCTCCCAACAGTATCTCACCTATTAATAGTAACACCAATACCTCCCACAGTATCTCACCTATAAATAGTAACACCAATACCTCCCAACAGTATCTCACCTATTAATAACAACACCAATACCTCCCAACCATATCTCACCTATTAATAGTAACACCAATACCTCCCAACAGTATCTCACCTATTATTAGTAACACCAATACCTCCCAAAAGTATCTCACCTATTAATAGTAATGCTGCATCCATTACGGCTGCTCCGTTTAACATGGTAGCCATAAGAATGTCGTGACCTGGACAATCCACAAAGGATACATGTCTACAACAAAAATCTGCCTACTGTAAGAATGTTGTGACCAGAGCAATCAATAATCTAAAGACACATTTCTATGACAAAATTCCTGGCAAATATGTGCTATTCCATTTTTACAAGTATTTTTTTACTTAAAATTCATCAGAGACAAATAACTTTCCAAAATCCAAACGATTTACCTTGCAAGTATTGAAATAAAAAAAAACCCAGTTGTTTCAGAAAACACATTTTCATTAAATCATGTTAAATCTTAAAGAAATAATCAAAATTCTTCAGACTTATCACATAAGATCCAACACAATTTACAATGGGCTCACCTTTGGACCTGGAATCTACCAGTGCACCCTGATCTGTCACAAGGGAAATTGTCCTCTTTTGAGCTTCCACAGGATCTATAGCAGCCAGGGCGGGGGCAGGCATCATTGTTACATTTATATATCTGTCAAACAGAAAAAAATGTCACTCCATGTACCACTTAATAATTTAGTTTACACATACTACTTTACAATACACACATAAATACTACAGGTGGGTACAGGCATCACTGTTACAGTATACCGTCACTTTACAATATACAAATAAACACTACAAAGGTTGATTATAACAAGTCATAAATTATTATGCATGTACAGTCAAACCTCAATATCTCGAACTCAATGGGACCAAGAAAAACCTTTGAGATATCACAGGATTTGAGATATGTAGAGTAAAATACTTAAAGAATATTAAAGGGGTTGGGACTTCCAAAACAATTTCGACATATCCATGGTATTCGAGATATCAGTGTTCGAGATACCAAAGTTCAACTGTATTTCAAATTAGAAATAAAAAAGACACAACATTGTGTTTACCTTTGCATTAGCATATCCTAGTTTGATGGTGATGTTTCTAACAAGTTCGTTTTTAAACCTAACAGTCTGAAAAAGTAAGTTGTACATAAGAATAAACACAGCTTACTCCAAAGTAGGGCAGTGAACATGTCAAAAAGAATTAAATTGTATGGATATCATAGGGACACACCTGAACTCCTGATATGGCTTTGACCACTGTAGATTTTCCGTGAGCTACATGACCAATTGTACCTAAATGATTTAAAGTTGAATAATAAGGAGATAAATACTTGTCAGGATTGATCCAATACAAGAAAAAAAAAAGAAAGAATTGAAATTTATGCATACATACCAATGTTAATAGTTGCCTGTCTGCTAATGACTTCTGGGGTGAGGGGTGTCAATCTGTCTATATTCTGAAATTACATAGCAAAATTTTATAGTAAAAAGTTATTATGAGATGCATATTTAACAAGTACTTGTATTTCTAAGATGGCAGACAATGTTAAAATGTTTGACTTACTCGTAATAAGTTCATGTAATGTTATATAAAATTCACAAGAACATTTTTGAAATAATTCCCTTTCAACTAAACATCTGACAGCAGCATTAACTGTAATTATCTACCACTTCTACTTCTTGCATATCTGACATACTGTACTCTATATCATTCATCATTTTCCATAGAAGACAAGTGGATTTTTTTTTTTTTTACACAGTTCCTATACCCTCTTACACACAGTCTTTTATCTATTCATGAAAGGCCATATAGGAAGTGTTCACTAAGATTTTAAAATATATCAAGACTGATGCAATAACCCAGAACTATTAATTTTCATTTTGTTGCATCATACATTAACTTATAAGTACCCAGAACCTAAATAAACATTATAATTATGTTCATTCCATTTGATTTTGTGGTATTTTGGTTCATCTTCCATGATCACAATATACTTAGTCTAGTAGTCTACTTGAATATTAGGTTATGATGTGGGTTTACCAAAGAAATAAATATTAAATAAATTCACAAAAATTCCTTGTTGAAATGGTAAGAGTCCACATCTCTATACCTCAAGCTGAGGAGACAAGGTTTGCAGAAAAAATAAAGAAACTTGAAAACTATGAGTAAATTGAGCTGATATGTATGTTGCTTTTTATCTACATCAATAGATTTGAGGTCCAACATTTGAAAAAATCTGACATATCAAGAAATACTTCATAATAGTGAGCACTGCAAAGTACCGCTCGCACTGTGAGCTCTAACGACAATGCCTGGATGAAGAGAAAATTCATTCATTCAAATGAATTTATTTCCGCAATAACCTCTGGACCCACAATCCTTTACGAATTGCATCTGGCAGAAAACTACATTCTCATGGTAACACTAAACAGCAAAAATTAAGCAAAAGAAAATCACCTTGATTTAAAGAATATTGCAGATAAATAGTACAATAAATGTTCTTTAATTAAAATTAGCATTCTTCTGCCTTCAGTTTGGTAATGCAACTTACATATGACGTCAGAGTCTAGATGTACCAAATGTCATGTGTAGATTAAAGAGACAGATCTGAATTGAATAGGTATCTGCACTAGCCCTAACGGTCGCACTGGCAACATATTAGCCAGTTCATGTAAATGCCTCTTGGTGTGTTCTATTGTCCACATATGAGAAGTTAATTGGTTGAAAGATCCTTGTACTTACCAATTATAATGATACAACTCACTTTTTAGTTATGACAGGTTACAAAAAAAAATAAACAGCTGACAACATAAGCCTAAGACATAGGAATTTTTTGGGTAAGGAATATAAAACGTATATTCAATACAGAGATCCTTTCATATCATTTAATAAAAAGTATGAGTCTGCATTCGATTTTAAAAAGAAATCTTTGACCTTTCTAACATATCATGTTTAGAAAACAACTAAGATTATCTTTTCAATCTTTCTATTTAGATTAACACTGCACTGTGAAAAAATCAGAATAGAGGAAATTCGAGATGACAATAGAACCGGAAACATCGCATATGCGAGAGTAAAAACACACTTATTTGTGATAAAGGAGAATAGCTATCGGTTATGGCTCCTTGCAATAGCAAAGAAGAATAAATACAGCACAACAATTACACACCAAAGTTTTTATATCCTGCTTCGATAAGTGAGGTTGAAGGGATTTTGGCTGTTCATCTTCTTCGCCTGCCATGCTGTCTGACGCAAGTGGGACCAACTAAATTTAGAAGTTCCGGTTTAGAAAATGTAAATCATCCAATGAAAATGCGATACGTAGTTTACTGCTTAACTTTCATTTTAGACCATTTGGAACTTCAAACACGAAAGAGTATGTTCAGCAAAAACAATGGGTGCGTTCATAGTTCTGCCGTTGGTAGACAAAAGTTGCTGTTGGTAAAATTAATTACCATTGGCATGCCAGTGGTACCAATGTTTTTTGCCAATGGTATATTTTTCTGCAGACGATCTAGAGTGTGGTAAATATTGGTAAATGACGTCACAACTATTTATCGACATGGCGATATACCAATATACCAAAGAAACATAAGTAGTTCTTTTTCCAGATTTGGTTGTGGGCCTGTAAGTTTAGTATATTCTTTAGACCGAATAAGTCTTGCAATTGTAGATTGAAAAGTTTCCCTGGTGAGACGAAAGTGCATTTTAAAGTCATCGTAGTTGCAAATTCTTTTATGGAATCTGACCTTTCTTCGTACAGATTAGTTATTAAATCTGAGCTGTGCAGATGATGGATAGACAGGTTCAACATATGATGAAAATGTTGTTGCTGTATAATTAGGGCAGCAACAAGGTGTTTGCTGTTTGACATGTTTACAAATCTGTAAATCAGTATTACCAACGTTTCCATTGGACTCCCATTAGTAACATTGGTAAAATCAAGTATTACCAACGTTTCCATTGGACTCCCATTGGTAACATTGGTAAAATCAATACATTTGTATGCCAATACCCGTTCAGGGTTTATTTGTACAATTGGTACCGTTGTCAAATTATTGCACCATTGGTATATTGAAAGTTGGTACTACTGGTAGAACTCTGAACGCACCCATCAACTTTCTTTGCAAATTTTGTATGTAGTGTTTATTTCATATTTTAAGTGTTATTTCTTGTTATTTACCAAAAATAAGTTAATCAAAAAATCCATGTTTCTGTGATAGATGCCAAAAGTGGTGACATGTCATGAATCATATTTATTTTCTGCAGTAAGCTAGCATTGAGAAATTGCTATTGATCTTGGGAGCACATGTTGCATTGGGACTATCGAATTTTGACAAAAATTGAAAAAAATGGCAAAGGAAATTCTGCGGTGACATTGGTGTATTACAATGCTACAGACAACATGGATAGCTTTAATTCTGGGTTTCTGGTCTTCTCTCTATCTCTTGGATGCTTATTTAAAGGTAAAAAGCTTTATGCACCATGTGTGTACTTTTATTTTTAATTGCATGCTAACCTATTGTGATGATTAAGTAAACTTTAATTTTGTGACAAGAATGAGAGTATTTTTAACTATGGTAGCAATGATTTTAAAGTTTGTTATTTTGTTAACATGAAATATCTGTAGTGCCCCCCCCCCCACCCCCCCCCCCATCTCTATTTGTACTTGCTGTATACAATTGTAATGGTTTGGGCCGTGGATATCGGCCTGGGTAGCTCGGCAGGTAGAGCACCTGACTAGTGATCCAGGGGTCTCCGGTTTGATTCCCAGTCAACCCATACATTTTCTCCTTTCCTGATCGCAATTAATCTGGCATGCTTTTGTTAATAATAAATGGTTAGGTTTTGGTAAAAATAATGAATTTACATATATTTAAAAGCTGATTAATTAAGAATTTTAAAATATACTCACTAAAGCCAACCTTTGCTGGTACACAATTTCTGTATATAGTAATGACTGTATTCTCTCGGATGTAGTGTTAATAAATGACATTCTTCTGTGAGTGTGAGACAGTTAAAGAACATTGATTAAAACATGCACTCATATAATACCTTAATTTTTTTTCAATATTGTGTTTGCTTCTTTGGTCCCATACTTTATTGATCATGTTGATGAAATCCTAAATATACTAATTGCTCTATTGTACATTCCAACATTCTCCCATTTTGTGGTCATTAATTTGACAGTTTATGATTTTATGCTATATAATATCGAATAATCATGTAAACATACTTTTTTTCCACAGGGTCATAATTCCGCAAAATCACAATTTCTGTTGAATCTGCCGGTAAAAAAGCTACACATATTTCCTGGGTTGTCATTGTATGTTCTGAATGCATTTAGATATGCTGTGACCAGTTTTTATGTAAAAATTGTGACCGCGTCCATAAATTATTCCCATGCAGAAAAAAGTATATGTACAATATTTTAAGCTTGCCTTTGAAGTTAATTATCAGTGGATAAATTAATTTCAGAGTCACAAGGCGTACGGTAGACAGTACATCAAGTTTCTAGACAGGACAGGATGTTCGGTGTCCATATGTCAGTTCCGCTGGTACTCCACCCTCTTCAATCGGAGTTTTGTTCGGCTGGGTCAGTGGAGACCCCGTTTACTGCGCCTGTGGTTCACCATTGGTGTCCTCTTTGGTCTTGTGGCCATGTTGCTGTCTGTTTGTCTCCTGACTCTTCTTGTCATCAACACGTTACGTAAGCAACCAGTGGAACAGCAAGTACTCACACCAGTGGTTTGTGTCTCATCTTCTATCTTCTTATAATTGCAAGTCTTAATATTGAAGAGTTAAAGCAATTAATACTTCTATATATCAGATACTTCTTCAAAATAATGAACGTTTCTATGAAAAGCTGTTGTGAACCCAATAAAAATTAAAATGTAAAGTTTTACTGAATTTATATATAAATATAAATGAAATGTGTAAAACCACATCTTCCTGATGCAACAGTATTACTTAACAATTTTTGATAAAGTTATGGGAAGAAAATTATATAATTATGTACAATACATGTAGATATAATAGAGTTTGTGTGATGTAGATGCCTGGGGTGAACCTACCAGCCAGTCAGCTGTCATATTACCTCCTCACCCTCCTTGTCTGTGGAATTCTTCATGAAATGGGGCATGCTGTGGCTGCAGTCAGGTGAGGGAGGAGGGTTTTACTTGTATTCCCAATCCCCATGATTTAAAATGTCTTCATTGAATATGAGTAAAAATCACATTAATTTTGAATCAGTTACTGAAATTTATGATATTTTTTTTTTATATCTGTTTTGTACAGAGAAAATGTGAGAGTGAATGGTTTTGGCTTGTTTCTGCTGATTGTGTACCCCGGGGCTTATGTTGATCTGTCGACAGAGCACCTGCAGATTGTCTCCCCTTTAAGACAACTAAGGATTTACTGTGCTGGTGTCTGGCACAACTTCATCATTGTCATCTTTGCATTGATTGTTATATTTCTTCTGCCTGTCCTCCTCGTGCCATTCTACTCCATAGGGAGTGCAGTAGTTATCACACAAGTGTCTGAGGTATCACACAAATTAGACAGCAAAAATATACACCAAGAAATTCTTAGTCTCACTAGAGACAGTTTGTAAATGAAAAAAATAATCTATAAATATGATGCAGTTTTTATTGAATATTATTAAATAAAAATAAGTAGTACCTGTCATAATATATCACTGTAATTTGTCTTTATCTATTGATCCTACAATGTTGTTTAACATAAGCAGCTCTGTTTTATATGTGTTTTGTGTTGCAAAGTTTGTATCTTCTGTATTGATCTTCTGTAGAATTCTGCCGTGTCTGGACCGCGGGGGTTGGCGGTCGGAGACCCAGTGACCAGTATCAGTGGCTGTAGGGTGACGGACATTGACGACTGGCACGCCTGTGTATCCCACAGCATCAAGGAGCAGTCCATGGGTCACTGCCTGTCCAGGGAGAAAATAGCAGAACTGGACACAACTCCTAAAAGTAATGTTCTATATATTTAAGTCATGTGATCAGTTCAAGTTATATGTGATAATTGATATGACTTGCCTTTTAAACTTCCCTCTCTTGATACAAAGCAATATTAACCTTACTGCTGGTTCTCTGTTGTAAAAATGATATCTCTGAGTGACTCAGTGACTGGATGTAATACAAATGTTGTCCTTTATTTTGAACAGATCTGTCAGAAGCTGCCATGGCCATAGACTGTTGTAATAGCACCAGCAGCACACACCTCTGTTTCAAGTATCATATCAAAAGCAAGTCCAAAGATGTAAGTCATATGTGTAAAGTAATACATTTTAATGTAATAAGTCTGTAGTAAGTTGTGAGTCTGTGATTAGTTTACAATAAGTCACAAATCTGTAGTAAGTTGTACATCAGTAATAGGTTTTTTATAAGTAATAAATTTGTACCAAGTTTGTAATAAGGCATAAGTCTGCAGTAAGTCATAAGTCTGCAATAAGTCATAAGTCTACATTAAGCATTAAGCCAAGAGTCTCCAAGAAGTCTGTAGTACGATGTAATAAGTCTTTATTTTGGGTAATAAGTCTGTTAAAATTTAGTCAAAGTAATCAAATGTACAGAAATGTGTAATGAAGTTTGTATATTTATATATATCCTTAAAGTTCAAGTATGACATTTTAAGGGGGGATAATTGATGGTATTTGTGAGGGGAGATAAATAATGATATTAAATTTTTATTGTGGGGGAGGGAGGAGGGTTGGTAATTAACTCCAAATTTTGACTTTTGATGGAACAATTGATTTTCAGTGATAAAAATAACAAAATAAAATAAACGAAGATGATTTTTATTACATTTTCAACAGTGAAATACTGTGATTTATTTAATGAATAAAAGTGATATTCTCTCACAGTATGAAAGGATACCAAAGTGATATTCTCTCACAGTGTGAAAGGATATCAAAGTAAGTAAAAAAGAATTTCTGGACTGTAATAAGATAGAAATAGTAATAAACCGTCTTGATTGAGATTAAAACTGCAATTTCTAACCAAATATGTTGCTTAAATCCATGTTACAATGTTTTCAAACTAACATATCTTGCTAAGCTATGACGTCTCAACCGCTCAACTATGACCTCACAGCCTATGGCACTGTGTTAAGAAAAGACAGAAGTAAAGGGAAAATCAAAGAAAATGTAATAAACAGAAAATTCAATATTTTGTAGTTGGATATGGAATTTATTTCACTCATGAGCCAGGATTTTTTTTTCATATTTTCACTCGTGTTTTGCACTCGTGAAAATATCAACAAATCCTGTCCCACTTGTGAAATAAATTTCATATCCAACTACAAAACATTTAATATCCTCTATATATTTAAGATTAAGAAAGATTTTTTTGGTAAGTAAAGGTTCACAAGTGGTTTACACTAGTTTTATAACTATAGTTATGAAATTTGACCTTATTTCTGATTTTTGCCGCCAGATGAACATGTCCTATTCCAAGGACACCTTCTCTTGTTGGAGAGAGACAGCTTACAATGGGGTATAAACAGAGGGCTAGTTATTTGTATAAAAAAGTGGGACCAACATGTAGCTAGTCATATAGATGATGGGGTAGTGTTAGTGACTGGTGTGGTAGATAATGGTTTTATAAACTACGTAGAGGAGACTTGTATCTCTATATTGCATTTTGTTTTAAACTCTGAGCTCTGAAGACCATGCTGTATACTACATGTATATAAGATTTTGTTTGCTAGTAATATACACATTACGGTTTGAAGTTTGTAGTTTTAATTTTGTAAACATTTCCTGATCCTGTGGAAATACTAAGTAGTGGAAATCACTAAATGAAACATAGTTTATTCACTTGAACATTACAGAAATATGCCTGTCTTCCTGCAAGACTGACCACAGACCGCCCTATGTGTAAATACCAGAGTGACTGTTACATTCCAAAGGCTGATATGGCATGTGTGTACCCAGCCCTAGACAATGTGACCAAACTACTTCAAGTGTTCCATGGAAGAAAACCACCTCTGTTGTTCTTAGGGCATCCCCTGGATTTACATTACTCAGGTAGGGTATCCCCTGGATTTACATTACTCAGGTAGGGTGTCCCCTGGATTTACATTACTCAGGTAGGGTGTCCCCTGGATTTACATTATTGAGGTAGGGTATCCCCTGGATTTACATTATATAGGTAGGGTATCCACAAGATTATATATTCAGGTAGGAAACCCCAGGGTTAATATAATGTAGGTAGGATATTCCCCAGATTTACATTACACAATACTAGAGTATCCCCTGGATTTACATTACTCAGGTAGGGTATCCCCTGGATTTACATTACTCAGGTAGGGTGTCCCCTGGATTTACATTACTAAGGTAGGACATCCCCTGGATTTACATTACTCAGGTAGGGTATCCCCTGGATTTACATTACTCAGGTAGGGTGTCCCCTGGATTTACATTACTCAGGTAGGGCATCCCCTGGATTTACATTACTCAAGTAGGCATCCCCTGGATTTACATTACTCAAGTAGGGCATCCCCTGGATTTACATTACTCAGATAGGGCATCCCCTGGATTAACATTACTCAGGTAGGGGATCCCCTGGATTTACATTACTCAGGTAGGGTATCCCCTGGATTTATATTACTCAGGTAGGGTATCCCCTGGATTTACATTACTCAGGTAGGGTGTCCCCTGGATTTACATTAGTCAGGAAGGGTGTCCCCTGGATTTACATTACTCAGGTAGGGTATCCCCTGGATTTACATTACTCAGGTAGGGTGTCCCCTGGATTTATATTACTCAGGTAGGGTATCCCCTGGATTTACATTACTCAGGTAGGGTATCCCATGAATTTACATTACTCAGGTAGGGATATTCCCCAGATTTACATTACACAATACTAGAGTATCCCCTGGATTTACATTACTCAGGTAGGGTATCCCCTGGATTTACATTACTCAGGTAGGGTATCCCCTGGATTTACATTACTCAGGTAGGGTGTCCCCTGGATTTAAATTACTAAGGTAGGGCATCCCCTGGATTTACATTACTCAGGTAGGGTATCCCCTGGATTTACATTACTCAGGTAGGGTGTCCCCTGGATTTACATTACTCAGGTAGGGCATCCCCTGGATTTACATTACTCAAGTAGGGTATCCCCTGGATTTACATTACTCAGGTAGGGCATCCCCTGGATTTACATTATTCAGGTAGGGTATCCCTTGGATTAACATTACTCAGGTAGGGGGTCCCCTGTATTTACATTACTCAGGTAGGGTATCCCTGGATTTATATTACTCAGGTAGGGTATCCCCTGGATTTACATTACTCAGGTAGGGTGTCCCCTGGATTTACATTAGTCAGGAAGGGTGTCCCCTGGATTTACATTACTAAGGTAGGATATCCCCTGGATTTACATTACTCAGGTAGAGTGTCCCCTAGATTTATATTACTCAGGTAGGGTATCCCCTGGATTTACATTACTCAGGTAGGGTGTCCCCTAGATTTACATTATTCAGGTAGGGTATCCCATGAATTTACATTACTCAGGTAGGGGATCCCCTGGATTTACATTACTCAGGTAGGGTGCCCCCTGAATTTAAATTACTCAGGTAGGGTGTCCCCTGGATTTACATTACTCAGGTAGGGCATCCCCTGGATTTACATTACTCAGATAGGGTATCCCCTGGATTTATGTTACTCAGGTAGGGTATCCCCTGGATTTACATTATTGAGGTAGGGTATCCACAAGATTATATATTCAGGTAGGAAACCGCAGGGTTTATATAATGTAGGTAGGATATTCCCCACATTTGCATTACACAATACTAGAGTATCCTCTGGATTTACATTACTCGGATAGGGTATCCCATGGATAAATTACTCAGGTAGGGTATCCCCACAATTTACATTACTCAGGTTGGATAACAAAACATAGGACTTGCCATTATACTCAAATGGGAGTGGGGGGTATCATTTTGTGAGCTTATTGCTCATAGTACTTCTAGTTGTTTTTTTCAAAATGTGCTAATCAACATTCAACACAATCTATTCTGTTCCATTTTGTTTTTAAAAAAGTGAAAAAAAGCAAGATTATGTTTATACAGTGTTATATTTGTAAAAGACACATTTAAATCCTTAAAAAAAATGCATGTAAAAATATGATTTTATGATGATATTTTGGGGAAAAAATCATGGAATATTGCTATACAAAATTTTTGGTGATACCTGTCCCTGGTATCCCCTGGATTTACATTACCCCAGTTGGATATCCTTTAGATTAAAAATTACTCAAGTAGGATTTTGTTTAGATTGACATAACTCTGTTTCAGTATCCTTTTGCTTTAAATATTCTATTCTGGAATCTGTTGGAATTACATTACTTTGGGTTGGATATCCCCTAGATTTACATAACTCAGGTTGGATATCCCTTGAATTTACATTACTCAGGTTGGATATCCCCTAAATTTACACTACTTGGGTTGGAAATCCTTTGAGTTTATATTACTCAAGATTGGATATCCCCTGGGTTTACATTACTTGGGTTGGGTATCCTGTGGATTTACATTACTCATTTTGGATATCCCATGGATTTACATTACTCAGGTAGGGCAACCCCTGGATTAAGATAACTTTACAAGGGTTTCCCTTTGACCTTATTTCTCAGGTATGGTGTCTTTGGACTTGTACAGTATGGTTCTCTCTCTATTTAGCTGAAAGTAAAGATAAATAAACAAATTTCTGTTTCATTTTAATTTTAGCAAGTCAATTTACATGTACTCAGGGTAAAAATATCAGGCTTAGCTAGTCAAAATTATGTTTCACAGTACCTATGAAATTGATAAAGATTCCATGTTTCTTTTTTGAGAAATTTTGCACAAGCTCCAGAATCCTACATTTGTGTGTACCTTTTTCTGCACGGTTTCTGTCTTATTAATATACTCTGTATACTTTTTTTCAGTGATGCTGAGTAACTATGTTCCAAAATCTTCCATTATTCCACTCAATCTACCCTACGTGTTGGAGACATTCAGCAAGTATCCTTTGTTCAGTATATGATCACAATGAACTAGAGGCTTTGAAATTTATGGATTTGGAATGTATCTAAACTTTGTAGAGATAAAGATTATACAGGCAGTATTACATCCAAAATCCTTAAATTTTAATCTTTTCTTTCTGGCAGTTGTTGAACTTTGAGTAGAATGTAAAAAGCACCCAGACATTTTGACATTCAATTTATCTGTCTCAAATTGAAGAGACATAAAACTTAAAACTGATACCTGTGATCATAAATTTGAATGGTACAGAATTACTTTTTAAATGCAGAGGAATTTTGTAAACTGCGTTTTTGGTGAAGCATAATTTTCATGTGTTCTGCATAAGATAAATAATAACAGATATTACCCCCCTATAATTGGCGGTACTCTATTTTCATACTGATACAGTATCATAAGAAATATGCAGAAGTTCTCAATAACAAAATGTTATCTACTGTAAATGCTGTAAATTTCACTTGTTTTCATTAACAAAATTTAAAAAATAGAGAAATGCTCTTTGAAATCCAAAGATTTCAAAACATGGCTTACACATATTGATGAATTTGAGTCTCTTTTTGAAATTAGAAGTTGCAGATTATACACTTTTAGAAATGTACAGAAAGAACTATATGCGGTTTATGCATATTTTGCCCCCCTCCAAAAGTCATATTTTGAAAAATTTTTGAAATGTGCTGAATTTTATATATTGTATGAGAAATCTAAATGAACAAAAAATATTATAGTCTCAAAGTAGGTTATTGGCAATTTTTGTTTCTATGACATCACAAACTATTTTAGATTTTATGTTATTTTTCAGAAAGAGGGTAAAAATGGACAAAATTTGTTAAATTTTTACTATAAAATTTATAGAGCGCAGGCCTGCTCCAGAACAATATTTACACATTTCATTGATATTATCATTCTACACATTATATTAAAATATTGAGTTGGAGCAGGCCTGCGCTCAGTGACTTTTACTCAAAATATTGACGTAATATACACCTTTTTCTGTGTAAATCATGAAAATTTTGAATTAACGTCATTTTCCTGACGTCATATCTAACATATGGCGTCATGGCTTATGAAAAAATTCAATGCTTTGAAGTCTGCAGATATCCCCCTGTTTTAGAACATAATTAAAGATTTCTTCGTCAAAGTTTGATTTTGGGGGGCAAATATTGGTCATTACCGAATATAGTCCTTTATACACATAGCGTTAGTCCATTACCTAACCTTAACTGCTGATCGATATTTGATTTCTCTATCGGGGGCCCTGGTCATCTTGAACGTGGTGCCCTGCTACGCCCTGGATGGTCAGTGGATCTGCCACGCCTTTATTGAGCTGACCCTGGCGTCTGTCATCCCTGACCGTGAGATACGGGGACTGATATATTCTGTGATAATCCTGTATGGAACTGCTTTACTCTTAGTTAACGTCATCATAGCCATGTGGATGTTATTTATGTGAGAGTGAGATTAAGGGGAATAAATGTGGCAAATGTTCATTCAATTTGTTTATTGAATTACTAGTAAAAAAATGAACCATGCTTACATGGATGAGTGATGAACTTTTATAGATAGTGTGATATTAGTCTCATTTTATTTTGTCAAACACTTGTAAGATAACTTTGAATTGCTGCCATTTTGTTGAGTGATTGTTGACTGAGTGGGTATTTCATTTGATGATCATTTCCAAGTATGAGAGATGTTGAAAAATTGAGATTCTTTAGTAGACAAGGATTGGTATCCCTGTACGACTGTATGATATTTATATATGTATAGGGACAATGTCTGAGTATGGTTCCAGGGTAGAAATGACACATATCACCTGTTGTCTCTGCTTGGTGAGTTATTACACCATTTGGTTGATGTCTTCAAAGAAGACGTTTTTTTTTTTAAAATTCATCGATCTCATCCGAGTGCAATGTAGGTAAAAGTAAATCATAACTGTAGTTCCTGTACATGACATCAAACGATTCGGAAGACATGAGTTATCAAGATTTAAGTTGAATGAGAATTATCTAAATGATGGTGTTCATTAGGAGATGGCAAGTATTGACTGTATTGGTAGAAGGATACATTAAACTTGTGCTAGCAGCAGTCTTGATTATTGTATACAGGTTTAAATTTATAAGCATGTCTTTTATTCAGTTTAGTCATTAACATCCATCAATTTTCATGCACAGAATGACATCACTAGTGTTGCAATGTTTTATATATGTATGTATATTTTTCCATGTTTATGTGTGATATATGTAACATGTGCTACTAATGTATACAAATACCTTATAACGGGAATATTTAGCGGCCATCTCATTTTGGCATTATTTGCAATGATCTTGATAATGCTAAGAATAAAAGTCGACAATAATGCAATCACAAATATTGTCATAGTAAATAAATAGATTTATCCAAAAAATCGCTACAAATAAATAACATGAACAATAAATATAAACTTTTAGGACAAAATTGCTAAATTTGCCAGTCGCTAAAATAACCCATTATACCGTATTGTATTATATACTGGACCAAGGAGAATCTCTGATATTCCATTTATTAATCACTGGTCTGCTATGTTTTAAAAATTCAACAAATATCTATTTTTAAGGTATTTAAAGTTAACTGCATACTTATTCATCAATTGCAACTGTGATATTAAAGCATTTAAATCAGTTTTGTACACCAGTGTACCATTCACATAAATAATCGGATAGCTTGGGTGGTATGGCACCCATTTTCTAGATGTTTTGGAATAATACTTTTTTTTTATATTGAAGAGAATTTAGGAAAACCTGATTTAAAGATATACAAAGCAGAACAAGTCCAAAATTTGACAAATTTGAATTTGACAGTTCAAAATCTGACTTCATTTGTAATCCTGAATTTTTTTTTTCAACCATTAAGGGTTAAGTTGTATGTATCAGTTTGAGAAGTGTGAATATGTTGCAAAATTTGAAAACCATTATCAAATGCAGCATTGTTGCCAAAGTCCAATTTTCCTTGGACTGGAAGTCTGTTCACTTGTATTAAAAAAAAGGTCTCTTGTCTGTCTGATATCATCTATTGTAGAGACTATCTAAATATTTGCTGGGTAAATTAGAAATTATTGTTTTTTTGGACCTACATATATATTTAATTTGAAATTTTAAAATGATTATTTTTATCTACAGTGGGCAGTCAAGTAAAAAATATGGGCAATATTGCTAAACAGAAATTATATTACGAGAATAATGCAAGTAAAATATAACATTGTAGTCATTATTATTATTATAAAGATGATAATTATTAAGAAGGATTCAATAATTTGCTCAGGGAAGGAATGTCTTTGGCATAGCAGGTCATTTGTCTCTAAAAACAAGTGGTGATAAAATATACCTCATAGGTGAAATACAATGTAGTTTACATAATTTTCAATTCAGAACTCTGAATTGTTACTTCAATTCCCTTCAAGTTTGAATTACTTTGTTTTACAACTTTTGTAAGTTCTTTATTGATTCCCAATGAAATAATTTATTGAGAAAACTCAAACTAGTATGATATTTATCACTGTATATTTACATTTCCAAATATTTTTCCTTAAGATTCTTTGCAAATTAGTAAAGGTCCACATTCTCATGAACTACCTTGGGATAAGAATATTTCCATTGTGACGTAATTGAAGTAAAAAAAAAATAGTGCATACTTAAAGAAAAAGATCACTGAATGACAAAAATATGTGGCATGTCATCAGAAGAATAATGGAAATATAAGATATGAATTTAATTTTTGAGAATTCATGAGGTACATGAACTACAACGCTTCACGCCTGCATATTTATCATGAAGGGCTAACATGCTTCATGAAATATGCTGGCGTGAGACACCGTAGTTCATGTCCTCATCAATTCTCAAAAATTCAATTCATTTCTTAAATCATTTACTTTTGTGTATTGTCATGATTTGTGGACAAATACAGCAAATATTGTCTATTGATGAATAAAAACATAGCTATTACTGATCTGAAATCTTGTCATTTTTAGCTCTACTGGTCAGAGACCAGAAGAGCTTATGCGATAGTAAGGTGTGCGTCCGTCTGTCTAGCTGTCTGTCCGTCCGTCCGTCTGTATAAACAATTTTTCAAAACGCTACTCCTCCTACAGTTTTGATCTGATTTCACTATAACTTGGCACACAAATAGACTATGCTAAGATACATAATTCTGTGTATCGGTTTTTGATTTCAATGAGCGGTGTTGCCATGGTTACTAAAAATAGAAATTTCTGTGAAAAACTTTCAAAATGCTACTCCTCCTACAGTTTTGATCTGATTTCATTATAACTTGGCACACAAATAGACTATACTAAGATACATAATATTGGTTTTTGATTTCAATGAACGGTTTTGCTATGGTAACTAAAAATAGAAACTTCTGTGAATACATTCAAAATGCTACTCCTCCTACAGTTTTGATCTCTTTACAATGTAACTTGGCACACAAGTAGACTACACTAAGATACATAATTCTGTGTATCGGTTTTTGATTTCGATGAACGGTGTTGCCATGGTTACTAAAAATAGAAATTTCTGTGAATACATTCAAAACGCTACTCCTCCTACAGTTTTGATCTGATTTCATTTTAACTTGGCACACAAGTAGACTACACAAAGATACATAATTCTGTTTATCAGTTTTTGATTTCGATGAACAGTGTTGCCATGATTACTAAAACTAGAAATTTCCTTGAAATACTTTCAAAATGACTACTCCTCCTACAGTTTTGGTCTGATTTTAGTATAACTTGACACACAAGTAGACTACACTAAGATACATAATTCTCTATACCAGTTTTTGATTTTGATGAGCGGTTTTGCCATGGTTACTAAAAATAGAAATTTTTTGAAAAACTTTCAAAATGTACTCCTCCATGTTTTGTCTGATTTCAGTATAACTTGGCATACAAATAGACAACACTAAGATACATAATTATCATTATTGCTTTTTGATTTTGTTGAATGATGTTGCCATGGTTACTTAAATTGAAATTGCTGTAAAATTATTTTAAAAGACTACTCCTCCTACAGTTTTATTCTGATTGCAATAAATCTTGCCACAAAAACAGACTAAACCAAGGATCATTATTCTATTTATTGCTGTTGCAAAGTTTCAAGTTCAAGTGCTACTTTTATCTTCCTTTATAAGTACAACCAGTAGAGCTACTGTCTCATCAGAGACTTCTGGTTTGGTAATTTTAAGTCAACTAGACCAAAAGTCTACAAGATAAATAGTGATGTTAAATCTAGCTGCAAAGCTTCCTCATGAACAGATGTCTTCTTAAACTCTTACATAATCACTGGTATATTTAATGGACACTTCCACAAACTCACTTTTTAAGCAGCAGATACATAACGTACTGTGCATGGATTGTCCACGATTTAGTTTTGCCTATCTTCATGTAAAGCCTGATGACGTACTAAGGCCGATTCCCACACATAAAGTGGTTAATATAAAAGTAACTACGAATATTTTCTGTATCCTGTGAAACTAAAACTGAAGTCATTTAGTTACTAAAATACTTTTATTTATGCTACAGAGATCTGTAGAACAGAATTGCACTACAAGATGTGATGGTTATGGTTTAACAACAAGCACTTCAAACAACTTTTTTGGCTAAATGTGAAGAGTTCAAATAAATTCATCAATATTGTGAAAAAAAAAGTCAAACCAAAAAGGTTTTCTTTCAGATTTTGAAAAATGTTTTCTGTATGTACAAAGTTCTTTTTTTTTTTTAACATGCTTTCCCTGATAATTTTTATTGCATAAAATGTTGGCATAATGAAATGAATTTCAGCTTTATTTATAATTTAAACTGTAAGTGAACTGGATACGTTGAACTACTAGAGTGGTTTGAATGGTTAAAACTTGAATAACGGAATTTTAACACCATCATGGTTCTATACATTAACAGGCAGGGAAAGTAGTTATCATGGAGGACATATATACAATCATGTATAATATTCACTAACAAACAAGACACAAACATATACTGCTGCCATTTTTTGCATATCAAATAATTTAATGCAAAATATAAAAATTGATGATTACTTTGGTAAAAGATGAATGTTTAAAATTCATAAATATATTAAGAGCATTTCTAAAAATTGGGTGAAAGAATGGTAAAATGAAGACTGAAAAAAAAATCTGAAATGAATGGCAAGCACTTTGAGTGTTCAAAATCAGCACACAATGCCTAGTAAAAAAAATCTTGTAATACTACACTACAGAATAAACAGTTATGTGCTAGCTAAGAGCATACATGATCTTAATTTACATATTTTGATCTCTCTTTTTTTTCATTTATAAAAATAGATGTTAAAATGAAATATATATATAGTATAATGATCTTTTGAATATAGAACAGATTTCATACAAAATTTTAAAACAATGAATAACGAGGGTAAAGTAACAGTTCATTGATAATTTTTTTTTTAGAAATATTGCATATGGCACTTTTCAATGTAAACTGGAAAAATTTTTGTCATGGAAACATTATCATCACAGGGAGTGAATGTTTGATGAAATTTTTTATTTTCCATAAATTTTTGGAAATTTCCGAAATTAGGAAATTCTGGAATTTTGATTCACACCATAGAAAACCTCCAGTCATCTTCGCTGTTAGAACTGTTCTGTTTTGAATTTCCAGACATTGATTTCAAAGTACTTTTAATGGAGCCAATTAAGGAAGAACTACTTTTTTCACTGGGGTACTTCTGACTTCCACTGCTGCCAACTTTCACAGCCTCCTTGTTGAATCCATACCCATGGTCCACGAAATCCGAGGACATTTTGAGGGATGAGTTTGATCCCGTTTTCAGGGATTCCATAGACAACATCATATCCTCTCCGACCTCGAATATCGGATCAAACTTAATGTATGTGGATGAGGTGCTGTGCCTCTTGCTATTGCTTTTGTGACTTTTGTTGGCATTCTTGCTGGCATCACGACTTGAAATGACCGATATAGGATCCACATCGGTCTTTGGACGGCGTCTCACAACTTTGCTGGTATCTATTTTTGAAACATCAACCCCTCCAATAATCTTAGTCCCCTGATTGCCACCGGAAATATCTTTCACTTGGTCGATATTAGTTATTCCCATCCGACGTGAATCCCTTCCACTGACCAGTTCACTTCCCGCATCCAGACCGTTCATCCTAGAGTCAGCCATTATGGGTTCCATGTCATTTACTGCCACTCTGTATGATGAATTCCTCTGGACCAGTTCATTATTCACTACTCCCTGATTGTTACGTACAGCCACTCTGTACGAGTCTGTCCGTGTGCAGTCCATCAGGTAGTCGTCATTGGAGGTAGGTGGGGGGTAACTATCTGTCAAACCACTGTAGGAATTTTGATTGCTTAGGGAAGGAGGTGGGTTATTAACTCTTTGCTGGAAGGATGGACAGCTCAAACTTTCTCTCATGGCCACTCTGTATGATCCTGTTCTATAGCTGTTACCTTCCCCCATTGCCACTCTGTAAGAATCTGTACGGTTGGATGGTTCGGCAGGGGGTCCTTTGTGAGAGTTTCTGTCATTGGTGGGTTCTGCCATGGCTACCCTGTAAGAGTCTGTTCTATTGGAGGATTCCTCTGCATAGTTAGAGCCACCATAATTAGAGGCACTATTATTCAAGTTCATGACATTTACCACTGCACCTCTCTTGCTATTGCTAGGAGCCTGCTTTGTTGGTTTATAGTTTCTGGTCCTTTCTTGGTATTTGGTGCTGGTATAGTTCACCATGTGTTCAGGGAGTGAAGTTGTAGATTTCATTTTTCTCTCTGGTTCTGATGGCTGAGCAGGTGCTTGCTTAGTTCTTCTCCTGCCCCTCTCAGCTGGTTTATAAGTTGGTTCCGAATTTTTGAACCTTTCAGGAGGAGTGTCCCAATTTCTGGAATGGTTTTCCATTCTTGATACGGAAGAGTGAGGGGTAGATGTTGACATTGGTGGTCCAGAAAAAGTCCGGAATGATTGATTTTCTGCTTGAGTTTCATTAAAAGAATCCAGGCAAGTTGTTGTTATGGCTATTGTTTCAATTGTGGAACTAAAGTTGGAATTGTCACTAATATAACTATACTGGTTCTGAACAGAACCAGAGAAGGTGGACTGCTCTGAGAGAGATTCAAATGATCCAGTAGGGGTGTTCATCATGGGAACATCCAGGTTGGATAAATTTGGGGAACTGCATGTGCTCTCCCTGGTGACATAGGTTAAGCTGTTGCTAAGAGACATGGACCCTGCTGATTCCAGTGAGTTGATGCTGCCAAATGAACTAGTGCTGTACATTCCAGAAAAACTTGTACATGAATTTGATGCAGTTTGATTTAAGAGAGTGCCATTATGAATGGGGACATTTGTACAAGTTGGATAATGACCCTCCTGGGTTTTTTCGAAGGAAAGTGTTTTCACAGTTTCTTTTTCACTAGGCACTTTTTGAGACTCCTGAGATTTCCTTTCTGAAGACTGAGCGCGAGCACCAGGTTTAACCACTAGAGTTGGATGATACTTGAGTGGTATGTCTTTCCTTTCTTCTTGGACTGTCAGTTTATACACTCCTTCTTCAGATAAGTCAGCAACTTTGGTTTCTTTTCCCCCATCTTCAGAGGAAGTTGGAGAAGAGACAAGTGGAAGCTGAAGGGACAGTGGCATTCCTGGGTTGAACATATTGATGACAGGTGAAAAGTTCAGAGACTTTGGTGTCTTTGGTCCACTCATTGATCGATCTGTACTTTTCAGAATTCCTGACTTTGGATGATCTTCATTTGACTTCTTGTTCATACACCGTGGCCAAGATTTTGTATAGTCATAAGGTTGGGTATCTTTTGAGTTGGAGTGGAATCCTTTTGGCAATGTCTGACAGTAAACATTTTCAGCTGCTGTGTTTGTGTTGTCTAAAGAACCCTTCCCCTCGAAATGAGAAAATGAGGAAGGGTTTGTTGAATTTCCAAGAGAATTATTTTCACTAGCAACACTTTCACTGGAATTTTTATTCACTGTGGGATCACCTTCTATTGAAGTCTGTCTACTTAGTGAGATGTCTTCATCACTCATTACACAAAGGGATGGAATGGATGTTTTAGATATCTGAGTCTTTGAGATCAGCCTTGATGACATAGCCTCCTGGTCTGTATCAGAAAAAGAAGAAGAATCATGTGGAGATTTTGGATCCACCCCTGGACAGGAACTGGTTCTCTTTGGTGGAGCTGGTGGGCTTACTTTGTTTATAATCTTCCCACTGTTCGTCTTAGCCCCAGCAAATTTCTCTCCTCCCTCGGGATTATGGATCACACTGTCAACACTGCAAAGACTCTGGGAGTCTTTACTAAGAGACAATTCCTCTTCCTCCTCATCTTCATCCACGAGTGTGGCACTGCTCTTCCTTAATCCACTGTCATTGTGGAAGGACGTATAAAAGCCTTCCTGATCCACTGAATAAACTGACGATTCCCCATCATCACATGGTAGGGGTCTTTTCTGTGGTGAGGACATCATCAGGTCCAGTGCCATGATGTTTTTCTTGGTCAGTCTTGTGAGGGAGGATATGGTCTCTGCACTACTGGAGGTGACCTCCTCCCGCCCCAGGGCTCGGACAGCCAGACTCTTCAGCCAGGTCTCTGTGTCAAGTTTAGCATTTACAACAGAGCTCACATCCCCCGCTACTGTGCTGGCATCATCCCCAGTATAGCCTCCAGTTGATTCTGTCCCACACCTACAAAATAGGATCAGTTGTAGTATAAAGTCAGATTTCAATGCATGGGGTGTTAGTCAAATACTAGCATATCTTATCAAAGATTAGGCTTAAAACCTTCCTTGTACATGTACTAAACCGTGGGTTTCTGAAGATTTATGTATGTGAATCAAATACTCCTTTCTTTGCACTTATTAAAAACTTGGGAATAACTTTATCAAATTACTGCATGTGGGATATAATTTAGTAATGCAAAGGCCCTAAACTTGAAATTTAGTGCACTACCAGTTCAAAGTATTCCTGATATTTTGCATCAATTTTGGATAAAATATTTCTGGAAAAAATATCCCTTTAAAGAAAATATATCAAAAGATCAATTATCATTATGTAGTCCCTCCCCAACTTGTTAATTTTCTTTGCTTTGACAAATCAGAAAAATACATGTAACATGCTATTCGTTAGCAAAAGTCTTCACAAAGGGAGAAGACTCTTCTTCATTTTATTTTTCCTCATACATTTAGATCACATCTATAGAGGAAAAACCGTGATGTTGTATTATAAATAAAAATTCTTCCTCATCTAAAAGCATACAATTAAATACAAATGTATGTCAAAAGCACAGAAATGATGGGCATTTTTTGTAGAAAAATATGTCTTAATTACATGTAGAATCATGGTAGTGACATAAGAATATGACATTCTTATAATGAAATTCTAGAAGAAATTCATTTTATCTTGTAAGATCTGCAACTAGTTTCGTATATCAGAGAAGTACAGGTAAAAAACCCACAGTGAAATACTGAGAAAGCATATCAAAACAAAATAGGCCTAGTGAATGTGACACCTCGACACGTGTGCTAAAATGAAAAGCCTTTAACTGGTAGATTAGAGAAAGCAAATCTAATACTTATAATGGTAAGGATAAAGCAGAATTGTTCCATTCTTTACAATAGACCTGACATTTTGAGGTGAGAGTTCTTATAGTCTTTTATTCTCTTCTGGTAATAAGCATCAGATTATAACTTAAATATCCCTCTTAACTACGACTGATCAAATCTAGGCACCTACTTAATTATTCCATATTTAGATGCCATACTACATTGATCAATTTTATGTGATATTCATATCTGACAGATAAAAAAAATATTTATAAGAATTAACAGAGACTTAAACTTCCTCTTACTGAAGTTCAAGAGAAAAAAAATCTCACATTTCAAAAGTTTATTTATTTATTTTTTTTAAAAGTCCCATATAATGGAAAATAACTTGCAGTATAAATTTTTCACTATATTTTGGCACTTAATGATATAGTCACAAATTCAAGAAAAAAGTGAATAAATAAAAAAACTTTATAACTGCACACATCAAACACCCATGATTTGGGAAAAACAAATTAATTAACATATACATTTGATTTGTAGATTTGAACTCCTTTGCAGTAACTATGTATATAAACTGTAATATAAGGATTATATTACCAATTTGTTTTCACCCTTTGCTGTTATATTACTTTTCTATTTACATGGCCAATTATACAAGTACTCTGTGATTTTTATCCCTTATTTACCTGCTTTCTGGAGGAATTGGCGAGTCTCGTCCTGAGTCGTTACCAAGGGAATACTGCGACGTGGAGTTGGGAATGGTCTCAGTTTTCACAACGTGGTCACTGTCTAAAGAGTGTCGATTACTACTACTGCCACTCCAATGACCTGTAAAACACAGGTCAAGGTCATAAGTACTAATTTTTCACAGTAAATATTAAAAGTCCATTAATCAATAATTTAATCTTACTTTCATTATCATTTCTCTTGCAGAATCTAATGTAGTCAAAGAAGATTACAGAACAATTCACTAAAGCCTTTTTTTAGGGGGGGGGGGGGGTAATGAGGGTTGAGGGATTAAAACCTAGTTGATAGTAGCTCTGTCTAATGTTTTTGAGAACAATGTACTAACAATTTTAAATTATTATTTCAAAATAATTTGTCTTTCTCTGCATTTATTGTCCCATGATTAGAAGACGTAATGGCTAAATAAGTAGTCTATTGATCTTAGTGGGGCAATGTTGACTTTTAATACGAGCTGTTCAGGAAACGAACTGGCATGCTTGCGAGTATCAGATTAACATATTAACCTGATCCTAACAGTCTGACTTAAGGACACCATACACCGATATCAAGACAGGCTAAATTGATCGAAGGAACACGCTATGTAAAACTACTGTGGAATTCACAGTTTTGTGCAGAATAGAAATAAATATTGCATGTCAATGTCCAATTCCTCAACAAATACAAATCAAATAATGTCAATACAAATCCATGTAGTGGTTTTATTGCTTAATAAGTGACATACAATCCCAACCAGAGGAAATGATTCCTGTTTTTAATTCAATTTATTGAAGGAAAACTTAATAAATAATGAATAAAAGCATTAATTTGTCATGTTCAGTACAGTTCTTAGCTTAATAATTCCAAGGTTTGCTCAATTTTTCTTGCTAAGTGCCTTTTCAAAACATTTCTAAAGAATGCATTCTTAAATATCCGGTCTTTTGCTTAGCTTGCATAACTCGTAACACCGTCAATATCTCAATATTCAGTGAACTTTAATGTACATTTTTATGCACTTTTCAAGTTTTACCTTTTACTTTGATGCATTTATAAAATACCTACATATGCATCTCTTATATCCTAGTATTAATGAATTGGGAAAAAAGGGTATTGGAGCCACATGCATATTTAATGAATGAGAAAACCATTTTTTAGAGTGTTCTTTGAACAGTAAGAGCATTAAGTTACCTTTTACGATCTGTGCAATGGGGAGTGAATTTTTAACATAACCTGAGGAAGAATGCTGATCTGTGAAACTAGAAAGGAATTATTTTATGTTACCTGCAAATATTTGTAAGGGGGGGGGGGGGATTGTAAGTTTTACGTTACCTGAGGAAGACTGCCGATCTGTATAACTAGAATGCCTCTTGGAAATTTCTCTCAACTTGACTGAAGTTGTCCAGTCCTTAGGCATGGACTCCCAGGGAAACTCATTTCTCTTGATATTGCGCTTGGGTAACGTATTACTTTCAGTCTCAAATCCATAGTATGTCCCGGGACCCACCCTCAAGTTCATTTCTTTTCTGGTCAACATGTTATCAGGCATACTGGGCATTTTAGCCAAGTTTGAGGGACTAGAAACCTCAAAGTCTATTGCGTCAAGGTCTAGGGACTTTGGTCGCGATTTGTGGATTTTTTCTACAAGTCTGTTCCCACTGTTGCTCCGCACCAAAGATTTAATTTTATTACTGATGATGCTGCCACGTTTAGTGAGACGGGATTGCCGACTGTCATTCGAGTGGTTACTATTCAGGCTTAGCTCACTTTCATTTAGTCCAGCAATTTGAGATTTTCGTTCAATTAGGGCCTTCGCAGAATTCAACTTGGCACATCTTGGAAGCGATTTTGATCTACGACACGGAAAAAATTTCATGATTTTCGGTTCCTTGAACAATCTCTCATCCTCCTTTCTCTCTTCAATTTTGGCATCAATTTCATCCAGATACTTTGCCATTTCCTCGTCCCTTGGAACCTCAATTTCCAGAACATCCAAATCTTCAAAATTATAGTCCCTAACATGATCTCGCCCACTTGTACTTACTCGCTTCTGTTCAAACTTTTCAATTTCCTGCAGAATACTTTCAGACACACCAGAAACAGTTCTCCTTCTTTTCTTCTTTTTGACATCCTCATATTCTATTTTTGCTAGGACCTTCCTAAAGGACTGCATGCGATGGAACCCCGTCCCTGAGGTGTCTATTTTTATCACTTCAGATGGAGGTATCACTATGTCACATGGCTTGTTTTCTTCTTCTTTCTCCTCCTTTGCTTGATCTTTCTTCTCTGCGGGGAAGAGTTCACCAGTGATGTGAATTGTTTTCCTCCGTTCTTTCAATTTCAACTTTTTGTACTTCTTCTCAAAAGTAAACACATCTTGTGACTGAAAAAAAAAATTAAGTCTATTAAAAATTTCTGCATATTATTTGAGCTACCAGAAAGAAAAACCTGCAGAACCAAAAAGAAAAAAATCCTTAATTAAAACCTAAGTATTTAGGTACAATTGATAAACTATACCTTCCTATCCTTCTTCATATTGACCAATGCTTGACTATCCTATAACACATCTGAAATCTATATCCACAGTTTCTAGCTGCTTCAAGGTGTTAAGAGGACTACTCAACTGACAAATGCTTCCCATTTGAAAGTTGTTTTTGTTTATTTAAGTAATTAATATTTAATTATAAAACATCACCTAATGATGTAAAAATGTTATCATTAGTGGTTGAATGAATTTAAAACTCATTGGGCAAAATTTCTGATGAGCAATTAGGATAGCAGTTATCTAACAAATGCTACAATGGAAGCAATTATGGTGGAAACTCTGAAATGACCATTAAAACTGTATTACCGGTAGCTATTCATAACTGCAAGTACCCATATATTCCATAATTACCAACTAAATATACATATTTCTATACAATTGTTACACTTGTGTACTGAAGTTAAAAAAAAATAACTGTCTACATAAGAAAGATTTTCTGATTTTGCCCAAAAAATAAAGTTTTCTGAGAGCAATTAAAGACTTGTAATACTTTCTCACAATTTGTAATGTTATTTTTGAGTTTTGTGAGATGTTGAGAGAGGCATGGGCTACAAATGTGCTCTTTTTTGTTTAATATGTGCAGAACTGTAGCTCAGTGGAATTGACTAGCTGGACAAACATACCAGAGAGCTACAGAGCCATCCATTGTAAAAAAAAAAATATCAAAAATCTTTGATCTAGGTGATGGTTTTGATCGCATGTTTCAGGTATTATTTCTTGCATTATATGCATTCTCCTGCCTAGAGCATTGTAATGAATAATACGTTTATTCCTTCTCTTTTTATTTTATTTACCTTTCAATGGTTCCAAACAGTCTCTGTGGCCTTGGAATGTGCCCGTTTCAAAAACTTCGCCTACTGACAGCCATGTAAGGGTTGTTCTGGCTATTGTGGGCAAAGTTTCTGAAACATACACATTCCAAGGCCACAGAAACATGTAACCATAAACATTGTACAATGCTTACCCTTCTTGGCAGGTTGAAGTCAGGGGAGGAGATCTTGGGTTCATTGAGAGCAACTGGCCAAAGTTTGAACAGTCTTGATGTGCAGAGTCCATCTTTCCTGTACAGGTCCGCTCCTCGCATGATCTTCCCTGGGGAAGTCTCACACAGCATGTAGTGGTCCTGTATACAGTGGGGACGGTTATCCGAGGTGAAAAGGTCACAGTCAAATCCATGTTTGGCAACATGATGGTCATGACAATGGCTAAACTTAGTCAGGTCACCAACAGCTGCAAAACAAGGACAAAATAATCAACTCAGAGATAATTAAGTCTATGTTTTAGGAAGTTTATTATCCATGACACATTTATATTTAATATCAAAATTTCATTTTAGAAATTAACCCATCACATTCAGGATATCTCTGGTCCATTTATTTCTCATTTGTTTTCTTTACAATTCATGATAAATACTTTTCTGTCATAAAAGCCTTCTCCAGAAAATTAATCACTGCATGTTGGTATGTAATTGTGCTTGATGAAAGAACACTAAAACTCAAAGACGACAGGTTAATATTGGAGAGTAGGTACGCCATCAGACAAGTATTAATGAGCTAGTGAGGACCGTTAGTGTAAATCCTTGACAACAGAATCCACAATTGTCTGAGGAGACCACTGGTCAGAAACATTTAATAATACGAAGTACTCTTTATTAAAAAAAATATCCCTCCATAACAGTTAAACCTCAGGCTGGGTTCTCCCTTTGAACATTATAAACTATATACAGTATATTACTCAAAATGATGGGGGAATTAAAAGGTAGAAACAAAGATATATATATATACACAATCATCACTTTGGGGTATGGAAAGGCATCATACAGTGTACCACCTTTGAACAGTTTAAGCATCATAATTCTAAATACATAAGAAATGTACTTTTGGACTATACTAGTGTAGTTCTGGTCTATACTGACCATGCTTCAGGAGACCTGTATGCACTTTTACATATCAACCTGCACTCCTGGAACTCAATCTATTTATGTTCAACTGAAGTCCAAATGCAATATTGTTAATCATAATATATTATGCCAAAAGGGCTCTTTACACTGAATTGAACATGAGATTTAAATACATATTTAAGTTATATTATGCCCATTTCTGAGTCACATAAATAAAGTAGAAATTCTATGGTCTTGCATGTTAAGAGTAATATTTGATCCTGAGGAATTCTAAACAAACAGTTCTTCCATTCTACACACAGGAGTTATTTGTTTAAGAGTTAGGTTATTTTTTTCCTGTTACCTTTCACTGGTGACAAAACTATGTGGATTTTATTTCGAGGCCTGTCTCGTTAGCAGTTTGTTCATTTTAACCCACACGATTCAGTAGCCATGATTAATGCCACCTTTTAATCTTTTCTGCCTACAGTAAAGTTTTCACATATGTACTACAAACCTTTACTTAAGAAATAAAAATAAATTAGCCTTGTTAATTAGTCATGAGAGTGTTCTAGTTCCCCCTTCGGGGCCCCATAGCTTTCATCGATTTGACCAGAAATTGCCCTGTGGTTTTTAGCGGGACTAAGGACCACTTCTAGTGCCACATGTTTCCTCCATACAAAAAGGGTGGTCCATAAATCAATGAAAATAAAAACACTCAAATAATGTCTATTGAAAAGTGTTAGCTCCATCATTCAATTATCATTTAGTATTCAATCTGACAAAATTTAAAGTGTTACGCTGTCCCAGAGATGGACATAATTATGATGAACACAACATTCTTATTAATATATCATAAGCTAGCAGCCAATGTGCTAGAAGTAAACCAAATACGTATTTCTTTAAAAAGAAAGTGAGACATTGCCAACATTTTCTTACTTTACTTATGCAAACATGAATTCAAACCATACAAATTGATTTTTATCAATAATTTTCGATCATTTATCACTGAAGTTCTCTGATTACAAAATTTATCATCTCCCATCCCTCTACCCCCTCTTTTTGGCATTTAATCATCAATACAATCATATATCATTCCTCAAACACAGTGTACAATTAATCATTTACAGGTGACTCTCGATCTCTCGAAGTTCAAGGGACCGCAAAAAAAGTTCGAGAGATCGAGGGGTTCGAGAGATAGAAAGCGAATAAAATCCGGAATTTTCAGTTCTGATCATCATTGTTCTACTTTTATAAATACCGGAAGTATATGTTGATAATGTCAATGCACGTTTTCATTCATATTTTACAGCAAATTTGCTTGATTTCAACAACAATGATCGTATTTTGAACGAATAAAACGATCTCTTTAAGTTTCAATATGTATTTGTTTTCATTTCATGATAAGATGAAACCTGAATAGCAATTGCCACTTCTATCCCCTGGGCTTGATCGGGTCCTTCACCAGATTTCTTGTATTAAATCGGTATAGTATTCAATTCTTGAAATAGGATATTGTGCAATGTTTGTTATACTGAGTTAATGTAGACTCTCATAAAACTTCATAATCTAAGGAAAATTATTGACACGTCTCTTAAATTATTTTCTAAAAATTATCGTCTTGTTGTCAAGTCAAAATAAGTTGTGAAGCAATTCGTTTATAATTTTCCAATTATAACCAATAAATTATATCAACACTCGGATGCTCACAGGTATAGTGTCATCTATGTAAACACCAAATTAACACCTCCATGCCAGCCCCCGACGTTCACTGTTATCCAGGTAAGTCCAAGCTGCATTAATTTTACGCTTGATTGGCGTGTACACACACGTAATCAAAACTTCGAGAGATAGAGAGTTAAAAACAATGAAATGATTGTAACGGGACCCAGGTCTTGGTTCGAGAGATAGAGAACTTCGAGAGATCGGAAGTTCGAGAGATAAGAAGTAAATTTGCTTAGTTAGATAGAGCAAAAAAACGGGACCGGAGGTTCACTTCGAGAGATCGAGAACTTTGAGAGATCGGAGTTCGAGTCATCGAGAGTCACCTGTATATAATACAGTAAAATTAATGACACAGTTTCAGTCAATATATAAATACTGTGCATTATAAACACATTAAAATGTGATGTAAACAAAAAACACACGATTAGTTTCAGCTGATTATATCAGGGTACATTTTATCACACAAAGTGTCATACATGAAATGTTGTGTTCAGATGATGTGAGGCACACACCATACAAAGCAGCCTCAGTTACGCCACCTAAATTACAGATTTAAAATCACTCATTATAACTCAGTTTGATATTTATCAAGAAAAAATATATCAGAGAGATGTTATATAAAATTTAAAATCAGAATTAAATGAGACATAGAGATATCTATCTATCAGCATGGTTCCCATTCTTTTCTTTTTAACTGACTTTTTAAATATATGTCAGATGTTATAAATTGTAAAAATTAATGATACGCAGAATTGTTACTTATACGTATACCCAGCCCCCAATTATAAAAATGCCTGTATGACTACTGAATGTCAGAGATGTTTATATACTTACTTTTCGGTTGTGAAATCTCTGTAAATTTAAAACCAGTAACATTAGCAGTACATTAAAAATGAACTCAATTTCTATTTTCATTTAAGAAGGATTCTGAATGGCCGACTTAAATACTAGCTGCTACTACAGTTATGGTCTTCCCCCAGTCAAACTCTGATCATAAATTTGGTTAAACTTTTAAAGGTTTTAATGAATAATAATGGAAATTGATAATTAAAAGATGAAACTAACTAGGAACAATCTTTTCAATTTTTTTAATTTGAAATTACTAAAACATGTAATTTTTTTATGGACCTGTGCATCAGATGTGGTCTTCCAATCATCTTTATAGTTTTAACACAATAAATCAATACACATTATAATGCCTTGATTGGAAATTATACACCCTGGCTATGCTGAATGGCCGCCCCATTGATAATTGATGAAGCTGAACATATAACTCTGTCATTTAAGCTGTTTCAGCCATTTTTTGACAAAGCTTATTGAATTTCTGTTTTTTGAATATTCGATCTCCCACATAATAATGTTGCCATTTACATTTTTCCACTTAAAGAAATAAATTAATATAAATTCAGTCACCGTGACCGAAGATCAGGTCTCCTTTGCAGAAGAGATCCATTATATACATGTTCTTTGAAGTCAGAAGAAACAAAATCTATATTGCATTCTATCACATATTGATGGAGTTTTGTTTCAAAGAGGTTCAAAGATGTTCTACTTAAGTATTTGCAAGTTATTTTGCATATTATATTAAAATAGTTCTCAGTGATGGATTATGATCTGCATAATACCTTTGATGCAGCTTGTCAGAATTAGCTACATAGCTTGATTTAGCTTTTAAAAATAAATAAAAACTTATTTTAGCTATCATCTAACATGTGCAACTATACTTGTTCAACTTGTAGAAAAAGATGCACTTTGGAGATATAATACTTTTCAACTTTGTACAGTTTTGAAGAGATTGTATCGGACCTGTTGATAGCTGCAACTCCGACAAAGATGTGGAATATATACTGAATATCACAAACAACCTAACTGATGCATCCATGCCCTTATAATTCATTTTAGCTCCTCCGAGCCACTGTGCCAATTCCTGATGAATCCTATTTTGTATAATTATTCTCAAAATAAGCATCAAACTTGATCTTTTACAACTTTAATAGATCTCCAACTCCACTCTTACCTTTAGTAAATTAATGTATAGAAATAGCAAAATTAGTCATTAAAGTAGGCTGCATCCATTCCAGTCTGAATGCAAATGACTTAAAGTTTATAAGGTATGAAGTTTTGAGTAGTACATTATACCCAACTCCTTTGTTAGATTTCAACTTACTTGGGGGGGGGGGGGGGGGGCTTTGATTTTTAAGTTGTACCGATATGAGAACAACTCAGAATTCAGATTTCATTGAACTTTGACTTTCTGCTTTAATTTGTAAATGTAAGAAATGAATATTGATTTGAATGTAAGATTTTCATTCTTAAAAAATAACAGTCTGTTTTATCTTGTTACAAAAAAGATGTTACATATTCAATGTTTTTCATGTGACAACTACACTTCACACCATATTCAACACTTTATTCTATACTTGAAATGCCAAGTCCTAACTATTTGAAGCAAATAATGCAATATAATTTAATTGTTACTCCATCAAACCTAATATTGTATCAGAATAAGATACAGATAACGGTTAAAATCTTTGTCACATATTCTCATATATGAAAGCAGATAAAAATAATAAAATCTTAATTGGCACACATTCAGAAAGGTTTTTAGTGTTAATATGAGTTTTAT